CGCATCACACTTAATATGTTTGTGCTTAAATTATATATCACCCTTTACGAACTGTTATCACCCTTGCCGTGTTTATAAAATTACTTTCAGATTATTGCATAATAACATAATTAATTAATCTAGTTTTAGTCCTAAATTCGAAGCGTTCTCCAGGTAAACCCCCTTTACTTATACATGTAGATCGTATATTTCGTTTCGGTAGAGGTGGTTCTCCTTTGTGCTTTCACTGGCATGTGAAAAGCAAACATAACTGGAATATTAAGTTAGGATTTCTGGTGTGCGAGCAGAAAAACTTGGTGCAAATTTTTGAATGAGATCGATTTCAGCGAAGGATTAGAAATAAGCGAATAAGTCGCATTGTCAAGAAGTTGATCAATCATTTTAATCATCAGTCATACTTAGTGAATTTCGTTTATTTGTTGATTAGTGAAGTATATAATTTTCGTAATGTTAGCTCTTGCTGTTTGATTGGAATATAATTATTTGATTGATATTCGTTAAAATTGTCACTAAAATTTTGTCGAACAAACCACAACAAATGGAGATTTCCGTTGCCAAAACGAAAATATTATGGCACATATTATGAAAGGAATAAAACTCGGTTTCTTTACAGTGTCATTTTGCCGAACATGAAAGTCCATGTGCCGCGTCATAAAATGATAACATAGATACAATCAGATTCTAGAACTCCAAATTCGACAACAATTCCCGTCTATCGATGGCACATCTATCGGATCTGTTTGGAAGCAAAAACAACATTTTCGATTAAGGCCGAATATAGTCATCCCAAATCACACTTTGCCAGCAAAAGTACTAAGTGAAAAAAATACAAGCAGCGTAACGTTGCTAATAATCATTCTTTTTCACCTAGTCGGCTTGGAACAAAGTGATGTCAAAACCAGCGAGAAATATAGGAACCAGCAAAAATAGTTCAGAAGATCGAAAAGTAATTATTGTATAGTAGATTAGAGGTTGAAGTCGGTAACAGATTTCACAGATGACATAAAATTCAACTCCTTAACCGAACATTCTATCAGTCAGTCAGTCTGAGGAGACGCTGAACCTTTTAATCTACCTGCAAATGATCTAACTCGGGGAGCAGTATGAAGTTGCGATTCAAACGTTGTTACATTCCATATTAATTGCGCACTTTAATCACTACGCTTTTTGGCACCTAACTATCTATTTGTGAGTATTGATGATAATGCTTTTGTTAGTTATTGTGTGGTGGTGTCTCTGGGTTAGGGAGGATCATCATTGAATTATCACCTCCTGGAAACTGTAGGTTGTTTGTAAATATTTTATTATTATTATTTATTATTTAATATTTATTATTTATTTTATCTTTTATTATTTAGTATTATTATTTATTATTATTTACTTACTATTATTTATTATTATTATTATTATTAATTATTATTACTACCGTTCTATTCTTTATTGTATTGTGTTTCGCGTTATAAACGTATTGCGATTCCATCCACGGCATAATACTCATATCACCCGATATGGTACAGCAAATCCAGTGCTCATGTTTCTTTTTTAATTTTAATTTCCATAATTTCTCAACATAATTTCCAATATTCATATAATATTTTCATAATTTTCAGGATAAATTATTAGAGTCCTTAAATAAAATGAAGAGTTTTAGGACCCTCTCCGATATTACCTTGGTCTTATCTCGTTGCAGTGCTGGAAGACATAGAAAATTCAAAATATAAT